TGGATCTCGAGGACTGTGAGTGTCGGGGGAGAGGTCACAGGGAAGGAGGCCTGTGGGGTGGGACTCTGAGGGAGCTCTGGGTTAGGGTCCTCAGGGCTTGGACGTGGGGGGAGCAGACAGCCTGGCCAGTGTGGCTCAGTGGTTGAGCATCCACCCATGAACCAGGAGGTCACGGTTTGATTCCCGGTCAAGGCACAGGCGTGGGTTGCAGGCTCGATCCCTAGTAGGGGGCATGCAGGAGGCAGCTGATCCATGATTCTCTTTCAACATTGATGTTTCTATCTCTCTCCTCCCTTTCTCTCTGAAATCAACAATATATATATATGTATATATATATATGTATATATATATGTATATATATATGTATATGTATATATACACACACATGTATATGCTTATATATATGTATATGCTTATATATGTGTATATGCTTATATATGTATATGCTTAAAAAGAACATATATATATATATATATATATATATATATATATATGTATGTATATGTATATGCTTAAAAAGAACACATCGCCCTAGCTGGTGTTGCTCAGTGGATAGAGCATCAACCTGCGGACTGAAGGGTCCCAGGTTTGATTCCGGTCAAGGGCATGTGCCTTGGTTGCGGGCACATCCCCTGGTCAATGTTTCTCTCTCATTGATGTTTCTGACTCTCTATCCTTCTCCCTTCCTCTCTGTAAAAAATCAATAAAATATATATTTTTTTAAAAAAAGGGAACATCGCCGAGACCAGTTTGGCTCAATGGATAGAGCGTCGGCTTGGGGACTGAAGGGTCCCAGGTTCGATTCCCGTCAAGGGCATGTGCCTGGGTTGCGGGCACATCCCCAGTAGGGGGTGTGCAAGAGGCAGCTGATCGATGACTCTCTCTCATCGATGTTTCTAACTCTGTATCTCTCTCCCTTCCTCTCTGTTCAAAATCAATAAAATATATTAAAAAATAAAAATAAAAAAGGGCACATCTTCAAGCCTGAGAGAGCACTAGGTGTGGGGCTGGGGTGGAGAGTGGTTAGAGCCACCAGGCTGCCACCTGCCCCCGCTGTCCATGGTGCTGAAACGTCTGCTCCCGGAGCCCCGCTCAGTTCCGGCCAGTTCCACTTCCCCTCCCCGCCTCATAGTCTTCCTTATCTATCCACAGTCACCCCTCCCAGCGCCCAGCCTGTGTCTCCCCCCACGGTCGTGTCCAGCAGTCTGGCCGCAGACCTGGAGGGCCTGACCCTCACGGACTCCCCGCTGGTGCCCTCGGTGAGTGGGATGGGACCCCCCAGTTCCGTGCTGGGCCCTGGGGTGTGGGTCTGTGTGTGGGGGTGATGGAAGGGACAGCGCTGAGCCCCTGTGGCTGTGACCCTGGGTAGGGGGACACAGGGCTGGGCCGGCTGCTGCTCGCTCACCCCCCCCCCCCCCCGTCCCTTCCTCCCTCCCGTCCAGCTGCTGAGCCCAGTGTCGGGCGTGGGGCGGCAGGAGCTGCTGCACCGCGTGGCGGGCGAGGGCCTGGCCGTGGACTACGCCTTCAGCCGCCAGCCCTTCCCCGGGGACCCCCACATGGTGTCTCTGCACATCCACTTCTCCAACAGCTCCGACAACCCCATCAAGGGCCTGCGCGTGGGCACCCCCAAACTGCCCGCGGGCATCAGCATCCAGGCGTTCCCCGAAATCGGTGCGGCTCCCGGGCGGTCACTCTCTGCAGCTTGCTGATGCCCCCTCCCTGGCAGGCCGGGGGCCAGGCCCTGGGGGCACAGAGAGGGCGGGCGTCTAGCGTGATCCATGCCTGGTGGTGGTGGGCAAGACAGACTAGGAAGCGAGTGGGTCCCCATCAGGGCAGGGGGCGCTTGGGCTCGGTCACTTCAAGACTAGCTTCAGCCCTAGCCCATGTGGCTCAGCGGATAGAGCCTCGGCCTGGGGACCGAAGGGTCCCGGGTTCGATTCCGGTCCAGGGCAGGTACCTCGGCTGCAGGCTCCTCCCCGAGCCTGAGCCCTGGTTGGCTCAGGAGGCAACCAATCCATGTATTTCTCTCTGTTTTTCCCTTTCTTTTTTACTCTCTTTAAAAATCATTGGGAAAGCCGAAACCGGTGTGGCTCAGTGGATAGAGCGTCGGTCTGCGGACTGAAGGGTCCCAGGTTCGATTCCGGTCAAGGGCATGTACCTTGGTTCCGGGCACATCCCCAGTAGGGGGTGTGCAGGAGGCAGCTGATCGATGATTCTCTCTCATCGATGTTCCTAACTCTCTATCCTTCTATCTTCCTCTCTGTAAAAAATCAATAAAATATATTTTTTTAAAAATCAATGGGAAAACAAGCTCAGGTGAGGATTAACAAAACAAACGAAAAGACTGACTGATTTCAGAGGATAAGTGTGTGTGTGGGGAGGGTGGGGAGTGTTTAGATTTCAGGAGAAAACCAGGAACAGTCTCCCCAGGGCGGGCAGCTGGGGGGTGGTCGGCTCTGGCAGAGGAGGGAGGATGGGTCTGGGATGGATGCAGACCGGTCTGGTGACGGTCTCTCTCCCTCTCCCCCTCCCGCCTCATCCCCTGCAGAGTCCCTGGCCCCCGGAGAGTCCGCCACCGCTGTCATGGGCATTAACTTCTGTGACTCCACCCAGGCAGCCAACTTCCAGCTGTGGTGCGTGCCCACCCCGTGGAGGGGGTGAGGGAGAGGGTGGGCGGGGAGAGGTGGTGGGGTCCCAGTGGAGTGGTGCTGGAGGTGGTGGCAGCGGGGGGTACGGGCGCACGTCCTGATCCAGAGGGTCTGGGAGCCGTCCCAGGCCCTCGGCCTCCCCTCCCACTCCTGCTGCCCCCAAAGTGGGAGGCGAGGGGAGAGATGGGCCTCACTGCCTCCCCCTCTTTTCTCCCCCCTCCCCCGCACCAAGCACCCAAGTGCGACAGTTCTACGTCTCCATTCAGCCGCCAGTCGGGGAGCTGATGGCCCCGGTGTTCATGAGTGAGAATGAGTTTAAGAAGGAACAGGGTGAGTGTGGGCGGGGCGGGGCTCAGAGCCGTCCTCTGGGGTTGTCAGCTCCAGCTCACAGCCACGCAGTGGATGCTCAGCTCATGGGGGTGGGGGTGGGGGTCGCCGCGGGGGCTCCTCAGTGGTTCCGCAGGGGCCGAGACACTTCAGCGAGGCTGTGGAGAGAGCGGGCACTTGGCCAGGCCGGGAATTCTGGGCCAGCACTCCAGAGGCTGCAGAGAAGGTGGGCAGGAGGGCGGACAGGGGACTCCTACGGCTGCCGGAGAGCGTGTGAGTTGGCCTGCCGGAGAGGTCAGCCACGCTGAGTGAGGCGTTCCCGGGTGGTGTGAGCGCCTGGCCAGGTCTGGTTCGGGTCCGCCTGTGAGGCTGCCTGGACCCTGGCCGGCCCGGTGAGGACCAGGCCTCGGTCAGGAGGGCAGCAGCCACCAGTGAGTGCCCTCTGCGAGGACTCAGCCGCAGGAGCCGGGGAGGGATTTGAACCTGGTTGGGTGTGGGGTCTCGGGAGCAGGAGTGGCCACCGAGTCTCCGATCAGTGACATGGACAGAGCCATGGGTGGCGGGTGGGGAGACCCCTGAGGTCTCCCGAGGAAGGGCAGGGCCCAAGAGGGACGTCCCCCTACCCAAGGACGAGAGGGCTCTGGGCCTGCCCAGGCCGAGAACTTGGTCGGCAGCTCCAGGGGGCAGACCCCGGTGAACCCAGTGCAGCCTCTGCCCTCATCGTGACCTCTGTTCCCATCGTGACCTCTGACCTCATTGTGACCTCTGACCTCATCGTGACCTCTGCCCTCATTGTGACCTCTGCCCCCAGGAAAGCTGACGGGCATGAACGAGATCACCGAGAAGCTCACGCTGCCGGACAGCTGCCGGGGCGACCACACTGTGGTGCAGAAGGTGACCGCCACGGCCAACCTGGGCCGTGTCCCCTGTGGGACGGCTGATGAGTACAGGTACCGGGGCCCCTTCCCCCCCCCAGGAAAGAGAGGGGCTGTTGAGCCTGGTGTGAAGGAGGGCCCCCCTGCAGCAGGGGCTGAGCCCCTCCCTCCGCCCCCCTCAGGTTTGCAGGGAGGACGCTGACCAGCGGGAGCCTGGTCCTGCTGACGCTGGACGCGCGGCCCCCTGGCCCGGCCCAGCTGACGGTCAACAGCGAGAAGATGGTGATCGGCACCATGCTGGTGAAGGACGTGGTGCAGGCTCTGACCCAGTGACCCCCCGGTGCTCCGGCTGCTCTGCCACTTGTTTCTCCCTCATGACACCTGGGCTGTTAGCACCCTCCTCTCCCTCCCTCCCTCCCTCCCTCCCTCCCTCCCTCTCTCTCTCTCCCCTCCTTTTTTCAGATAAGATTCCTTATGTCAGCACTCAGAGCTCCCCCCTGACTCCCGCGTTCTGTAGTTATTTATGGAGCAAATTCTCAATAAAGCTCTTCTCTCTAGAGGCCAGCTCACCTCTCCTTTCTCCCGGGTTCTAAGGGGCTGGGGGAGTGGCTAAGGGTTCCGTTAGACCAGTTCTCAATTTTCCTAATGCCGCTACCCTTTAAAAAAAAAAAATACACACACACACACACACACACACACACCCCGTATTTTCCGGTGTATAAGACTACCCCCTAATTTTACAGTTAAAACATAGGTTTAGGCCTATATTCGCTGTATAAGACTACCCCCCACTTCAAAGAAAAGACTTACTTTGCTGTCAAGATCTGCAGGTAATTTTTGTGCAATTTTTGTCTTTTGCCCCCGACTTTTTTTCGTTTCAAAAGTCGTCTTATACGCCAAAAAATACGGTGTGTGTGTGTGTGTATATATATATATATATTATTCATATTTTACAGAGAGGAAGGGAGAGAGATAGAGAGCTAGAAATGTCGATGAGAGAGAAACATCAACCAGCTGCCTCTTGCACAACCCCACTAGGGATGTGCCTGCAACCAAGGTACATGCCCCTGACTGGAATCGAACCTGGCATCTTTCAGTCCGCAGGCCGACGCTCTATCCACTGAGCCACACCGGTTTCGGCTGCCGCCACCCTTTAATACAGTTTCTCATGCTGTGGTGACCCCCAGCCATGAAATCATTTTCGTTGCTCCTTCATCACTGTCATTGTGCTACTGTTATGAGTCGTCATGTAAATATCTGTGTTTTCCGATGGTCTCAGGCAACCCTGCTAGCGGTTCTCAACCTGTGGGTCATGACCCCTTTCACAGGGGTCACCTGAGACCATCAAAAACACAGATATTTACATTACGATTCATTAACAGTAGCACAATGACAGTTATGAAGGAGCGATGGAAATTTTATGGCTGGGGGTCACCACAGCATGAGGAACTGTATGAAAGGGTCATGGCAATAGAAAGGTTGAGAACCACTGCGTTAGACCCTTGTGAATGACCAGGGAGGCTGGACTGAATCTGGGGTGACTCTGATCAGAGCCCCCGGGAGGACGGTCTCCGAGTCCCCAGGCGTCTCTGCGGAAGAGACATCCATCCGAGCAGGAACAAAAGGCCACGCAGTCCTTCCTCTGAGCCTCTAAAAGCGAGTCCTCTCCGATGGCCAGTCCCCTCACGGGTCCTCTGTAAGGAGAATTCATGATACGGGGAGTTTTCCAATCAGGTGCGAAACTCTGTTTATATAAGTATTTATGTTGAAATAGAAATTTTAATACAGATTACAGTAAGACATTTTTACCAATTCTCTATAGAGAAACCAACCTAACACTGGTGTCCTATTTCAACTTTTTTACCTCTCTAGTTTTCAGTTTATATCAGTTCAGTTTAAATAACTTTGTGGGGCCCTGCAAATGAATAATTCATAGAAGTATATTACTAGAGGGGAAGCTAATCTCACTGCTAAGCAGTGTGCTATATTACAGTGAATGTTTGTGTTTTGGAATTTTTATTTATTTTTTAATTGATATTTTACAGAGAGGAAGAAAGAGGGATAGAGAGTTAGAAACATCGATGAGAGAGAATCATTGATCAGCTGCCTCCTACTGGGGATGTGCCCGCAACCAAGGTATATGCCCTTGACCGGAATCGAACCTGGGACCTTCCAGTCTGCAGGCCGACGTTCTATCCACTGAGCCAAACAGGTTTCGGCATGTGTTTTGGAATTTTTAAACTATGTAAGGTAATAGTGTCATGAATGGTTTAATGCTGTCTGGTGACTTGCTTATTTTAAGTGATCACCGATAAGTCAGAGAAATGTGTTTTTAAATATGTTTTTTTAAAGTGCCTTTTGAACATTTTTAAATAATGGATTTAAACAATTGAGTAAAATAAATTACCATGTTTAAAACAGGCCCGGAGCCCCCACCTGGTGGGGCGGTGATCAGCCAGCCATTGGGGAGGGGGAGGAACAGCAGGTGTGGACAGCTGCTCACACTGTCCCATCCCCCAGGGATGGACAGACTCAGAGCGGGAGGTGGGGATGGGGCCCGAGGTCCAGGATTTCTCACAGGTCCCAGCCATCAACGCTGCTGCCCCACAGACACCGAGTAGGGAGGATACAGAGTCCTCCACCTGGGACAGGCTTCTGGGGTGGCCATAAGGATCTGGGCCCTGCTGATTCCTTTCCCGGTGAGTAAAGAGGCCGCCTGAGCAGTTTCCAAAAGGTATACGAGGTGTTCCGTTAGCACATGTTCTTTTGTTTTATTTTTATTATTTTTTGTAATATATTTTATTGATATTTTACAGAGAGGAAGGGAGAGAGATAGAGAGCTAGAAACATCGATGAGAGAGAAACATCGACCAGCTGCCTCCTGCCCACCCTGTACCGGGGATGTGCCCGCAACCAACGTACATGCCCTTGACCTGAATCGAACCTGGGACCTTTCAGTCCGCAGGCTGATGCTCTATCCACTGAGCCGAACGGTTTTGGCTCTTTTATTTATTTTTTAAAAATTTTCATCCTCACCTGAGGATATTTTCCCATTGATTCGTAGAACATGGAAGAGAGAGAGGGAAAGACAAATATCAGCGTGAGAGAAGCACATCGATTGGTTGTCTTTTGCATGAGCCCGACCAGATCAGGGGCCAGGGAAGAGCCTGCAACTGAGGTACCAGGTACATGCCCTTGACTGGCATCGAACCCAGGACCCTTCACTCTGCAGATTGATGCTCTATCCACTGAGCAAAACCAGCTAGGGCTAGCCTATGTTCTTTTTAAAAAAAGAAAGTCTGATCAAATACATCAAGGAATCATGGATTAAAGCAAGTTTATTTCCTTTTTAAAAAAATATGTTTTATTGAGAGGAAGAGAGAGGGATAGAGAGTTAGAAACATCAATCAGCTGCCTCCTGCACACTCCCTAATGGGGATGTGGCCGCAACCAAGGTACATGCCCTTGACCGGAATCAAACCTGGGACCTTTCAGTCCGCAGACTGATGCTCTACCCACTGAGCCACACCGGTTTTGGCTGCTGTGAACATTCTTGGTGTTCAGTTCACAGCTGCTCCGGTGAGTAAGGTGGCGACTGCTGTCAAGTTGCAGACGTGTATACTTCATGATCCAGCAGCAGCTCCACCCCTGGGACAACACGTTATAGACGCTTGCACATACGTTAAAAGCGGCGAGAGGAAAAATGCCAGCAGCTGTTATTCACAACTGCAAAAATGCAATGAACGAACCCGAAATGCCTGCCAGCAGGAGAGTGCGTCAGTAAATGGTGGTCTAGTCGCACAATGGTACACTACATATAAGTAAACGTAAATGACATAAAGCTGATTGTATCAAGGTGGTGCCTCGGAAGTCATATTGTGTGAAGAAAGCAGGATCTAGGCGAGCAATGCCACTTCTATACGATTTTAAAACATATGGTACAGGCCCTAGCCGGTGTGGCTCCGTGGACAGAGCATCGGCCTGCGGACTGGAAGGTCCCAGGTTTGATTCTGGTTAAGGGCATGTACCTTGGTTGTGGGCACATCCCCAGTAGGGGGTGTGCAGGAAGCAGCTGATCGATGATTCTCTCTTATCAATGTTTCTAACTCTCTATCCCTCTCTCTTCCTTTCTCTAAAAAAAAAAATGAATAAAATATATATATTTTAAAAAATATATATGGTATAAAGCCCTAGCCGGTTTGGCTCAGTGGATAGAGCGTTGGCCTGTAGACCAAAGGGTCCTGGGTTCGAATCTGGTCCAGGGCACGTACCTCGGTGGCAGGCTCCTCCCCAGCCCAAGCTCTGCCAACGTCTCCCCTGACTCCCCTGCCACATAAAAGCGGGGTACCGCCACCGATGGTGACGCAGGGGTGAAGGCAGTGCCTCTGGCTCCGGGGACCTGCCTGCTGAGCTCTGAGGCACCAGCGAGCAGCTGGAGCCACTGCCTCTGAGAGTCTGGGGGGGGGGAGCCCAGAGTCCCTGCAGGTGGAACGGATCCACCCTCAGTGGACTCCCTGTCTCTCTCTGAGTCAGCACCGCCTTGTGCAGGAGAAAGAGAGTGGGGGCGATTTTCTAAGAAACACAAGAGCCCCGAGCGGGCTTGGGGGGGGGGGGGGAGGAGATAGAAGTCACGGCCACATTGAAGGGACTGGCAGAGGCAGAAAGTGCCCCAGGCAAGGGGGGTGGAGCACTAACGTGGACCCGGGAGGACTGAGCCTGACCACAGGCTCCACAGGTCCGAGGACGGCGAGGGGCTGGGCATAGGAGCCCAGCCCAGCCCAGCGCGGCTTCCCGGTGGTGCCTTGGCAAACGGGTAAGAGAAGCGGCTCCAGTTTCTATAGCAACTGGCTAGCTGCCATGCTTGGGGAGCAGATCCATTAGGGACACCTCGGAAGCGAGGACGACCCCAGGGGTGGAGTAGCTCTGCCCACAGTGGAGCCCCCATCCTGCCCTCGTGCCAGTCAGCACCTTGCACCGGGCACCTTGAGGGGCACCTCAAGGTGCCGCCGGCAGATCGGAGGGGTGGAGGTTGGGTGTGTCACAGGACTTTCCTAGTCCGACTGGACAAGGAAAGGAAGACAGGAACTTTATTATTATTAATATATATTTTATTGATTTTGTTTAGAGAGAGGAAGGGATAGAGATAGTTAGAAACATCGATGAGAGAGAGTCATCGATCTGCTGCCTCCTGCACGCCCCCCACTGGGGACGCGCCTGCCACCAAGGTACATGCCCTTGACTGGAATCGAACCCGAGACCCTTCAGTCCGCAGGTTGACGCTCTATCCACTGAGCCAAACTGGTTTCAGTGAAAACAGGAACTTTCTAACCCACCAGAGGGCCTGGCCCCTGGACAGCCAGCCAGGCTGGGCCCTTGGTGCCCATGTCTTCTCTGACCCCCCTGTGTCCTCTTGGTCACCCCTTTTCTACTGTGAAGGCAACCAAGGTACATGCCCTTGACCGGAATCGAACCCGGGACCTTTCAGTCCACAGGCCGACGCTCTATCCACTGAGCCAAACCAGTTTTGGCTTCAGTGCCCTTTGAATTTACATTTGTGTAGGATGAAAGGTAGGGTTGATGCTCTTTCTTTCATACCTCCTAAAAAAAGCGCGCGTGCGCGCGCACACACACACTACAATGAACGTGTTTTCCCCCCCCCGCACACAGCTTGGCAGAAAGTTGAGCAAACACCGTGAGCTCACCTTACCTTGTGGTCTTGAGTTCCTGAGTGAATGCCCCTTTTTCTGATCTTTTTCAACCAGGAAAATTCTTTTTCCCAGCAGCCTCTCTTCTCTCCGCTCTCTGTGGACGCCCTGAACACCTAGCAGAGAGGAGACTCCAGGGTCCCTCCTGCCTCCCTCAGGACGTGCATAGAACACGCCAGCCAGTTAGTTGCGTTTAAAACCCGCCTTGTAGCGCTGGGCGTGACGGCAGAGACGGTGCCAGGCATGGCTGGGCTCAAAGGTTGCTTGTTGACTGGGAGAATGGATAATGCCGCCTGCTTGTTCCTGCTGCTTCTGCCAGTGGCCAGCTGTGGGGACCTGACCCCGTTATTTAATGTCTGCACCTCTGCCACTCGGCACAGCTGCCCTTCTGGCCAGGGGTACCGTTATTTCTGTAAACCAGGCATCCTCAAACTTTTTAAAGTGGGGGCCAGATCACGGTCCCTCAGAGAGCTGGAGGGCCGGACTATATGAACTACTAATTCCTACTGTAACACCTCGGCTGCGCTCACTGCCCAAAAACCTGGCGGGCCGGATCAGACTCCTCTGCGGGCCGCATGTGGCCCGCGGGCCGTAGTTTGAAGACGCCTGCCAGTGTAAACCCTGTGGGCCTGGCCAAGAACTCACACACACCGGAGGCCATGATTGTACGTGAACTCGGCCACAACTTTCCTTCACTGCCGAGTGAGCCTGGGGTCAGGCAGTACTAAGTGTATACAAAAGGTTGCTGTGAGTTTTGTCTTTTTTTTTTTTTTTTAAATATACTTTATTGATTTTTTTCATAGAGAGGAAGGGAGAGGGATAGAAAGCCAGAAACATCGATGAGAGAGAAATACTGATCAGCTGCCTCCTGCACACCCCCTACTGGGGATGTGCCCGCAACCAAAATCGAACCCGGGACCCTTCAGTCCGAAGGCTCTATCCACTGAGCCAAACTGGTTTTGGCCAGTTTTGTCTTTATGTGGTTAAGACTTCAGTCTCTGAAGCCTGAAACCTCACTCTTCTACTTCCAGCCAGGAGTCTGGGCTAGTTAACTTCTCTAAGCCTTAGTTTCCTCATCTGCAAAATGGGTCGACAGCGACAAAACACTTAGAATTGTGCCAAACACATAGTAGATGCTCAGGAAAGGCCAGCTTATTATTCTATTACTAGTGGCCCGGTACACAAAATCTATGCACATTAAAAGGGGATTCATTAGGAAATCATTTAATATGGCTGTTTGCCCTTTCTCTGTAATAGAAGTGTCAGAGATGAAAGAACTTTAGTAAAATGTATATGAAACCAATCCTCCTGTCAGAGTCTGGGGTGCACTACGGGACCCAGAGTCAAGTCCCCGCCCACCTGCCTCAAAATTGCATGAGACCCAGACCGGGGTGTGGCCCCCCCCCAACCCCACATTGGGCTAGATCCAGATGCAGCCAGTCCCACCCAATGTCAAACCCTGCCAGGAAGGGGGCATTGCCTGGGGCTGGGGCTGGGGCTATGGCCTGAGGTCCCCCGCCAAGCCCCACTGTGTGTGTGTATGGGGGGGAGTGGGGTGCAGTCTGAGGCCCCCCAGCCTGGTGCTGGGGTTAGGGGGCGCTGCCTAAAGTCCCCTATTGAGCCCCACATGTTGGGGGGCATGCCATGAGGTTCCCCTGGCCTGGTGCTGGGACAGCGGGAGCAGCCTCAGGTCCCCTAGCCCAGCACCAGGACCGGAAGCGCACCTTGAGGTCCCTCATCAAGCCCCAACGGGTGGGGGGGGCGTGGCCTCAGGTCGCCTGGCACTGGGGCGGGGAGTGGGGCCTGAGGTCCCCCAGCCTGATTCCAGGGTCTGGTGAGGCCTGAGGTCCCCTATCAAGCCCCATTGAGCAGGGGAGGGCTTAACCTGAGGTTCCTGCTGACTGCTCTTAAGACTCCTGATGGGAACTTGGCCTCAACTGTTTGGGGGAGGAGGGCATCTTTGGGACAGAGTGATGGTCCATTAGCACGATCCCTCTTTATTAGGATTATTAGATAGGACGACGACGAGGAGGTAACACATGCAAAACACTCAGACACGCTCAACAAACCCCTTTCCTCCTCATTCCGGTCCCTTATTTCTCCCCTTTGGCTGTTCAACCTTTAGCCTCCAATATCATCTCAAAAGAACTGATGCAGCCGAAACCGGTGTGGCTTAGTGGATAGAGCGTGCAGACTCAAGGGTCTCAGGTTCGATTCCCGTCAAGGGCATGTACCTTGGTCGCCGGCACATCCCCGGTGGGGGGTGTGCAAGAGGCAGCTGATGGATGATTCTCTCTCATCGATGTTTCCAACTCTCTCTTCCTCTCTGTAAAAAATCAATAATATATATATATTAAAAATAAAGACCTTGATGCAGCCGTCCTCAGCAGTTCCCTGCTGCCTGCAGCCTACAGGGGCTTCCCTCCAGTGGCATCAGCACGCGTTCTCCTCCGCGGGGGGGCAGAGGGAGCCCCCGGGTCACCCCCCTTCTCCCCCTTAACCCAGGGGTCCCCGCCTGGAATGTGGGCCACCCCCTGGCAACCCGCCCCGGCCCCAGCCACCCCGCCCCGGACACCTTTCCCGACCACAGCCGGCCCCCACGGTGGCCTCTCTCCCTCCAGCGGACCCCGCCCTGTACCTCCTCCTCCGGGAACCTCCAGTCTGGCAGGTCGGAAGCGGTTTCCCCAGGGAAGCGCGGTCCCGATCCCCGGAGATCCCTGATCCCTGATCCCCAGAGATACCCCGAGTCTTTGGAAGTTTCCTGAATCCCAGCCGCCGCGCCACGCCCGGTGCCGCCAGCGCGGATCAGCCGGCCGAGCGGGGCCGCGCCTGCGAGCACCGAGGAGCAGGCTCCAGCGGGGGATGCGCTGGGCGGGCCTCGCCCCAAAGCCAAAGGGGTCCCGGAAGGAGCGCAGCGTGGCCGCTGGAAACCCCAGGTTTCGCGGGGCTCGTCCACCGCGCGTCCCTGTTGCAAACGGGTCAACAAGCCGAGCGAGGTGAGCGGACCGGGCCAGGGTTGCTCAGTGAGCGGCGCCCTCGGGTCTGGGCCTGGGGCCTGGGAGGAGGGGGGGAGGTGGGTGTGTGGCCTTGGCGCCCAGAGCCCCGGAGGGGGCGGGGTCGGAGGGTCCGGGCACAGGTGTTCCTCATCCCGCGGGGGCGGGGGGTGCGGAGGCGCCGCGCGGGGCTATATAAGCGGGTGCGGGCGCGGCGCTGCTCGCGGCTTTGCTGCAAATTGTGGAGCGCACGTGCCTGCGCGTTCCTCGCCGCCCCGGCCCGTCCGCCGTCCGCCGCCGGCCCGCACCGGCCCCATGGCGTCCTCGCTGGTAAGAGCCGCTGCCCCCGCCGTCTGTCTGTCCGCAACTAGGCCCGGGGCGGGGCCGCCGCAACGAACAGTCCGTGCGCAGCCTCAGCCCGGCCTGCGGGGGGCCCCCTCCTCCGTGGTCCCTGTCCCGGGGGCGCGGGGTGCGGGTCACGTGTCCGCGGGCGCGGAGGGCCTCTGCGTCGCGGCGTGAGTGGCGGCGGCGCAGGGGGGTGGTGTGGGGGTGGGGCAGGGCGTCGCCTCGTGACTCAGGGCCTCTGGCTTTAAAGGCGCCGCGGCCCTCTGGGGGCGGCCAGCGGGGCCTCACGCCCGGCGGCCGTGCGCGTGCCTGTCCAGACGGGAGCCGAGCTCACGGAAGTTAAGTCCCGTCCCCGACACTGTTTCCTTCCCCTTAGCCGTCGCATGTGAGTCCCGCGCAGCGTTCCCCCCACCCCGCTTGGTCTCCGACGTCGTCGTCGTGCCCAGAAGGCGGGCGGGGCTGGTGGCCAGCGGCCTGGGTGGGGTGAACGCTACGACGGCAGGCAGCGGCGGCGTGGCCCCTTTAAGGCGGAAGGATTGGCCCCCTCGTGCTGCGCGCGCTTCCCGGGCCCGGAGGTCACGTGGCTTCACACGTTTGAGTGGCCCCGGCGCCGCGCGCTCTCGCCAGGTGCGTCTCGCGGGGTGGGGAGGCCGGGCACGTGCGGCTCCGCGTCGCGCTGTGGAACCCGCGGCTCCAGGTGGGTCCCGGGGGCGCGGGGACACGCGTGGGGGACACCCGGGCTGAGGAGGCGGCAGCAGCGGCGCGGGCGTGGCGGGCGTGGCGCCTGCGGGCCGAGAGGCGTGCATATGGCGGTGGCTCCGTCAGTCCGTCCTCCTCAGCCCGGGCCCAGTTGGGGGGGGGGGGGGGGCGGGTCAATGGCGGCGGCCACGGGTTTGACAGAGACATAGGGGTGGCCCGCGTGTGACCCGCAGGCCGGTGAGGGACGCAGGCCGGGGAGGGACGCAGGCTGCACACACCCCGTGATTCCCGGGGGGGCCCCGGGGCCTCAGACTGAGGGAAGTTCCGAAGGTTGGGCTGTCCCGCCCGATTGGCATCGGTCTCCGGCTTCTCCCCCCGCGCGTGGGTGTCCTCCCTGGTCAGGCTGACCCTGACTCGCTTGCCGGAGGGCTCAGGCGACGCCGCATCCTTTTTTTTTTTTAATACGTTATTAGCCAAAGCTGGTGTGGCTCAGTGGATAGAGCGCCGGCCTGCGGACTGAAGGGTCCCGGGTTCGATTCCAGTCAAGGGCATGGACCTTGGTTGCGAGCACATCCTTGGTAGGGGGTGTGCAGGAGGCAGCTGGTCAATGTTTCTCTCTCATTGATGTTTCTAACTCTCTATCCCTCTTCCTCTCTGTAAAAAATCAATAAAATACATTTTAAAAAACAATACATTTTAAAAAATAAAATTAAAAAAAATTTTTTTTTATATTTTATTGATTTTCTACAGAGAGGAAGGGAGAGAGATAGAGAGCTAGAAACGTCGATGAGAGAGAAACACCGACCAGCTGCCTCTTGCACACCCCCTACCGGGGATGTGCCCGCAACCAACGTACATGCCCCTGACCGGAATCGAACCAGGGACCTTTCAGTCTGCAGACCAACGCTCTACCACTGAGCCACACCGGTTTCTGCATAAAAAACATTGTTATCGATGAGAAAGAATCATGGATCAGCTGCCTCTTGCATTGCCCCCCCACCCCCCACTGGGGATGTGCCCGCAACCAAGGTCCATGCCCTTGACTGGAATCGAACCCGGGACCCTTCAGTCCGCAGGCCGGCGCTCTATCCACTGAGCCACACCGGTTTGCGCCAGGCCTCATCCTTGCCAGTGGCCCAGCGCCACCCGAGGGGCCGCGGGGGAAAGGCTCTTCCTGCACGGATGGATGCACCTTGCAGGCCTTGCCCCTTCGCACCCTGCCCTGTGGGGGAGGAGCCTGCAGCACTGGGGACCCCGGAACCAGCAGCCCTGCCGCCGCTGCCCCCCACCCCACCCCGCAGCCTGGGCAACTGCCTCCTCTGTCTCCCTGGCTACCGAGCCAAACAGGCAGAACAAAACCGTGGAAGCGTCGGCGTCGCGGTGGTTCCTGGTCCGCTGGTGCTTGTGGGGGTGGAAGGGAATTCTGTTCCCGAGCTCTGCTCTGTGGGGAGGCCTGCAGGCTCTCGAGGGGTGGCAGGTGCCCTGGTCTCTCCTGCCTCAAGTAGCTTTCTTTTTTCTTCTTATTTTTCAAAAATTTTTTATATTTTATTGATTTCTTACAGAGAAGAAGGGAGAGGGATAGAGAGCTAGAAACATTGATGAGAGAAACACCGATCAGCTGCCTCCTGCACATCCCCCATTGGGGATGCGCCCGCAACCAAGGTCCATGCCCTTGACTGGAATCGAACCTGGGACTCTTCAGTCCGCAGGCCGACGCTCCATCCACTGAGCCACACCAGCCTCGGCTCAAGTACTAATAGCTTTCTTTGCAGTGTCCCTTGGGTTTGTTCTGGTCACGGTGACCTCCCTGGCACTTGGGCAGCCTGGCTGTGCCCGCCCGCTTACACAGAACTAGGATTCGGGCGTTGACAGCCCCGTGTGTAAGGCCACCTTCGGACCCCCCCTCCCTTCTCGCTGGCATTGTCCTGTCCTGTGGCCATCGCTCTGGGCCCGGCCCCCCAGCTGGAAGGGCAGCGGGGCCTGCTGATGCGGAGGACGGGATGCTGGAGTGCTGGACGTGGGTCGGTTCTCTGAGGCCCTTGGGGGGGGCCCCACACCCCCCAGGGTCCCAGAGCTCGGAGGAAGGGGATCAAGGGGGTAAGACTTAAGGCTCAGCACCAAGCTTGCAAAGGAGCTAACGCTCTCCAGCTGTTTCTTTTGCTTTGAATCCTTAAAAGGGTTTGCAAACCCAATCCCTGCAGGGGCCTGAGGTAACGGCTTACAGGACCAGAGGGGGAGGAAGGAAGGAAGGGTGGCCCCCTGGAGGGAGCAGCCAGGAGCGGGTGTTGGGGTGTCGCCGTGCAGAAGTGGGGCCCAGAGTTGATGGAAATTTGGCTTTTTCCCTAGTTAAGCTCCCCTCCCCCCAATGAAACGATTAAAAAAAAAAAAGTGTAGCCCTGACGGTTTGGCTCAGTGGATGGAGCGTTAATCTGTGAACTCGAGGGTCTCAGTTCGATTCCAATCAGGGGTGTGTACCTTGGTTGCTGGTTGAATGCACATCCCCAGTGGGGGGTGTGCAGGAGGCAGCTGATTGATGTTTCTCTCTCATTGATGTTTCTGACTCTCTATCTCTCTCCCTTCCTCTCTGTAAAAAATCAATAATATATATATATTTTTAAAAAGTGTAGCCCTAGCTGCTTTGGCTCAGTGGATAGAGCGTCGGCCTGTGGACTGAAGAGTCCTGGGTTCGATTCCAGTCAAGGGCATGTGCCCAGGTTGTGGGCTTGATCTCCAGTAGGGGGCAGCCGATCAACGATCTCTCATCATTGACATTTCTCTCTCTCTCCTCCTTCCTTCTTCCTCTCTGAAATAAATAAATAAAAATATTATTTAAAAAAAGTGCAAGCCTTGTATGGATCAGAGGTTAACATGTCTCTCAAGACTGGCCACCTGAGGGGTAAACCTAGGTCTTTCTGGTGCCGTGGCTCAGCCTGGGACACTATTCTGGGAGTCAGAGGGGTCAAGGGCGGTGGGCAGTGGTCTGCGGGCTGGTCACAGGTTGGAACCCGCTGCATGGGAGGCATGTGGGTCCTCTGGGCATTGGGGTGGCAGTGTTGACCGCAGGAGGAATGTGCTGTGTCCATCATTCCACGGCGTGTGTATGAGAGCCAGCGGCAGGACTCCTCCCACACTAGGGGGTGACCCTCCCAGGCCTCTGCGCCAGAGGCTTGCCTTTTTCAGGACCGTTTCGGCAACTTTTTTTTCTTCTGAGACAAGGCACATTTGAAATTACATACCAGTAACTGTTTTAAGACCCATTAAGGTTGATTGGGGCTTATTAAATCTCACCTCTTCTGCCTTCGCGGAAACTTCCCTAATCCCGTTTCTTAGATTTCCAGGAAGAGTGAATAAGGGTCTTAGCAGCACCCCGATAAAGTCTGGGGTGAGCTCCCAGGGCATCCGAAAGCCTTTCGCCAGAACCGAGGATCTGGACCGTCATTCCGGGCAAAATTTAGCATCCCCGCAGTGCACACAGTCACGCTAGCACACGAACAGGGATGTAAAGCTTTATTTCTGTATCTTATTTCCAAAGGAGTTAAAGCATAGAGCGGTAAAAAGCATATTCAGAGCCTTTGCCAAAGGGATTTCTCTAAGAATCATACAAACGAGGGTTGTTTGTTTGTTTTTGTTTTGTTTTGTTGTTTTTTTAACCTGCGGTCAGGGAAGTTTTGGGAAAGATGGAACTTTAAAATGTTACCTGTCCCCAGATGCTTCTGAAGCAACCTTTAGAGGCCAGAGCCTCCCAGCTCTGAGCCCAGCGTTTGGGAGTGTGAGGGTGGAGGGGAAGGCGATGGTTGGGTACAGGAGCTCTCCGCTGGTGTGTTAATGCTTTCTGTGCTAGGTCAGTGGTCGGCAAACTGCAGCTCGCAGCCTCGGTTTGCCGCTCTGTGGACTAATGAGTTTGTCGATCACTGCTGTAAGGCATTACCCTTACCTAGAAGTTTTGACTTGAGGTTAAAGACATTAGTACATTATTAAAATGTTTTTTTTTAAATATATTTTATTGATGTTTTACAGAGAGGAAGAGAGAGGGATAGAGAGTTAGAAACATCAATGAGCCGAGACCGGTTTGGCTCAATGGATAGAGCGTCGGCTTGGTGACTGAAGGGTCCCGGGTTCGATTCCAGTCAAGGGCATGTACCTTGGTTGCGGGCATAAACCCAGTAGGGGGTGTGCAAGAGGCAGCTGATCGATGACTCTCTCTCATGGATGTTTCTAACCTTGGATTCCGGCACATCCCCAGTCGGGAGTGTGCAGGAAGCAGCTGGTCGATGTTTCTCTCTATCCCTCTCCCTTCTTCTCTGTGGAAAATCAATAAAATATATATTTTTAAAAATAAAATAAAAGTATGTGTTTGTTTACAAGGCAAGTTAATCAGTGGATTTGTAGTTCCGGGTGGGAGTCTGGGACAGGAACGTGTACCAGCCCTGTAGATTAACGTTTAGGCTGTTGTCTTCAGTAAGAAGCTAGTGGTGGAGGCAGTAAAAGAACCATGGGATCAAGTCGCAAATTACTTTCTCTCCATGCTAATCCCTTCCATCCTGTTCTGCACATCGTTTCCTAGCCAGACTCTAAGCCGTGCTGACTCTGGGGAGAACTTGCCCGCAAGCCCCCAAGGATGGGGGCGGGGAGTGTGTCAGGGAGTGAGGAGTAGGAGGGGGGTTGGACCTTGAGGTTGGAGTGGAGGAAGTTACATAAAGGATTTTTGGCCAAAACGGGTATGGCTCAGTGGATAGAGCATCAGTCTACAGACTGAAGGGTCCCAGGTTCGACTCCGGTCAAGGGCATGTACCTTGGTTGCGGGCGCATCTCTGGTGGGGGGTGTGCAGGAGGCAGCTAGTTGAGGTTTCTAGCTCTCTATCCTTCTCCTTCCTCTCTGTAAAAAAAAAAAAATCAATAAAATATATATATTTTAAAAAATAATTTTTGCTTCTTTCTGAGTTAAAACCGGGACGCACTGATGAACCCTGTCAGGTTTTATTAAGCCTTTTGCTGTTT